CACCGCACCCAGACACATCCCAATTGCTCCTATAGGTAGGACTTCTGATGTTGGAATTGTAAGGCTTTTTTTTTTTTTTTTTTTTTTTTTTTGAGATGGAGTCTCATTCTGTTGCCCAAGCTGGAGTGCAGTGGTGCAGTCTCAGTTCACTGCAACCTCTACCTGCCAGGTTCAAGTAATTATTCTGTCTTAACTTCCTGAGTAGCTGGAACTACAGGTGCCCACCAACATGCCCGGCTAACTTTTGTATTTTTTCCATAGAGACGGGGTTTCACCAGGTTGGCCAGGCTGGTCTCAAACTCCTGACCTCGAGTGATCCACCCACCTTGGCCTCCCAAAGTGTTGGGGTTGCAGGTGTGAGCCACCACACCTGGCTTAAGGCTTTTGTTTAAGATACACAGTTCCCAGCTGTCTCCTTTTCAGTCAAATAGGAACTGCCTCCCTGGAAGATTTTGTGCTCTTTCCCATAAGGAGCAGCCTTGCCAATGACTGACCAATATAGGTGTACAAAAAAACACGTCTCCTTGTCTCCAGGTGATACAACTCAGGCACCAGAGCTCCCTCTGGAATCAGGCTGAAGCAGGACTCCAGCTGAGGCTATATCCTAGCTCAGCTTCTTCCCCAACTCCACCCTGCTTCCCTCACACCCTATTCAGAGAGTACTTCTGCAGCAAGTCAAATGCACCAAAATTCCTGTACCAGGCTCAGCTTCTAGGGCGCAGCCCCTCATATAAATTTGAGTTTTCAATTCCTGGATTAGAGGGAGAAGCAAAGTGTGCTGAAACAGTTAAAAAGGGCCACCAGTCAGTGCTAGCCAGAAGAGACATGCTCCAAAGTAGTCACAGTCAATCTTTAGAGATCAATACAGACTGTCAAATTGATGCATATTATGAGGGACCCAGAATGCACTCCTGCCCTGGCCTGAGAGAGTTATTGTTCTTAGCAAGCACATGAGTCTTTGTACCATGCACCATGGACTTACTTCTCTCCTAATTATTGCTTATACTGACTTGGTCATCCTTCTTTTGTTGTCAGTTAAGTAAACAGCTCATTCGCAGTCAATACTATGAAAGCAATAAGTCCCCAGACTATTGCCAGAAAGGACCAGTGTATGGGAGTGGCTTCCTAAACATTTTCCCTAATAAAAGAGCTTAGCACAGGACAGTTGGCCCATTATTCTAGACTAATTAGGTTCTGCTCCATTTACATACTCTGCTGGAAATTGCAGAATCTCTATGAGAATTCACATGACATCCATGAACTTCTGAGAGGACCTACTGAGAGGAATGTCCTTGGCTAAGAGCCTCCAGCTGCTGCAACTTCAGATCCACTGCAATGTTCACACTCAGGTGTCTGCCAGCAAATGATTAAACTCCATAAGGGTCCAAGAACCAGGCCATTTCTATCAGGACTTTCCTAATGGACAATTCTTGCTCTGAGGCTCCTCACTGGCCTGGCTGTGACTTTCTCAGAGCTGTACTGCAGTCTATAGACTCATCCTACCCAAACCTCTTCCTTCTCTTTCTCCTTTCACAAGAGTCAGGCCTGCATCTACTCTGAAGCTTTTCCCTGCCTACTCACATTCCCCTCCCTTTTACCCTTTACAGAATTTCTTCCATTAAATCTTTTGCATTTCTCCTTCTATCTTAGCATTTGCTTCTCATAGGACCCTAACTGACATAGTGGATCTGAATCCTGAGGTCTGATTTGTGGAGCTGTGGAAACTTGTGAGATCAGTTGCAAATGAGACATTACAATGAAATCCAATAGCAACACGTAGAATTATAGCACACATTTGTTACTTGGCATGGAAAAGTGTTTACGATAGAGTAAATTGAGGAATTACAAAACAGTATAGTGTGTATTCCAAACTTGTAAACAAGAAAGTATATATAGAAAGAGAAAATTTTAGAAGGCTATGCATCAAAATATTGAGACTGGCTTGCTCTAGATTATAGTAGTCTTGCTTATCTTTTTTGCATGTTTACATTTTCAAAATTTTTCATAATACAAATTGTTTCACTTTAAGTGCAGGTGAAAAGAGAAGCTTTTGGCCTAGAGGAGGAATATTTTAGGGGCTAGAGCACTTTGGGAAGATAAGGCTGCTGTAAGTTTTTCTAGAGCCTCAGGACTGCTCCATTAAGGGGAACCATATAAGCACCAGGGACCAATGGAGAAAAAGAACTTGCCAAGTTGAGAACATAAAGACCTCAGGGAAGGCCTCCGAGAAAGTGAGTGATGAGGAGGGAGGAGGGTCCCTTCCTTTTTCAGTGCATGGATCATTTCAATTACTATCCCCACTACCATTCCCTATCTGATTCTGATGTCATTTTGTGTCCCCTTAGACCTGATTATGTACATGTAATATAGCTCACTCATTCATCCAACCAGTATTTATTGAGCCTTACTCTTGGCTAGGCATTCTGCTAAGTTCTAAGGATTCTGGCATGTGGCAGATACTGACAGTTGCCTCCCAATACCCATTCTCCCCTTTTTCTTGTTAAGAAAATCCCGATTTTATTTGGTCAAGCAGCATGTCTGGTTACAAATCATGTCTTAGCGCTCACTGCAGATAGAAGAGTCCGTGTGTTGTAATCAGGAAACACTGAAGGGGGTTGGCTCAATCAGCAGACACCTTTGCCCTTCACCCTTCCCCATCTTTGGAAAGTAGATGGAACCATGAAATGAACATGAGGAACGAAGACCATATATTAAATATATGTTAGCAAAAATCAAGAAAGGATCAGTCACTAGTGACATTATTAAACCACTAAAATGGACCTCCATATTTCTTGTTATGTGAGAAAAACAAATCTAATTTTCTGAAGCCACAGTGTTGGTGATTTCTGTAACTTGAAGCTCAACAGAATCCTCAATGGAGCAAACAGAGAATGAGTCACAAGCTCTACCCTACCCCTCTTTTTCCTACTGTTCAACGTAGAAAAAAGGCAACCTACTGCAGTTCTGCTCCAAATTCCTCAGGCCTGCAATTCATGCAGACTCAGGCATTTGAAAATCACAAGCAAGATGAGTGCAATTGTTCTCCGAAGATGACTGGGACCAGCTGTTCTCAAACTGTTTGGGCTCTGGGCCCCTTTACATTCTTCAGAACTATGAGGAACTACAAAGAGCGTTTATTTATGTGAGCTATACAATCCGTATTTACCACAGGAGATATTAAAACTGAGGGGTTTCAACAATATTAATTAATTTAACAATAGTAACACATTCTTTGTTACATTTTATAAAAATAACTATTTTCTGAAACCAAAAAAGTAAGAAATAATCAAGAGTGACACTGTTTTACTTTATTTATTTTTAGAGACAGGGTCTTGCTCTGTGTCCCCTAAGTTGAAGCACAGTGGCACAATTGATCATAGCTCACTGCAGCCTCAAATGATCCTCCCACCTCAGCTTCCCGAGTAGCTGGGGCTACAGGTGCATGCTACCATGCCTGGCTAATTTTGTTATTTTTATTTTTGTAGAGATGGAAGTCTTGCTATGTAGCCCAGGCTGGTCCCAAACTCCTAGCCTCAAGTAAGCCTCCCTCCTCAGCCTCCCAAAGTGCTGGGACTATAGGTGTGAGCCCCCACACTCAGCCTGTTTTATATTTTTTGCAAACCTCCTTAATGTCTGGCTTCAAAGAAGACAACTGACGGTATTCTCTCATCTACTTCTGCATTTAAAGCAGTCCAATCCTTTGCATTACATGTAGCCTGTGGAAAACTCTACTATATATAATAATACTAACATGTTAGCATCATTATGAACATTATTTTGACCTTGTGGATCCCCAAAGGGGTCTTGGAGTCCCCCAGGGGTGTCCCTACTGTACTTTAGAGTTGCTGCTGTGACCAGTGCTACCTAAACCATGATCTCCAAACTATTTGTCACTGGTCTGTGTTAGGTAAGTTCAGAAACTGAGTAAATGTTTAGAAGCTCTTACATCAATTTGACAGTAATTTTATGTCTGTTGAATCTAACAATAATGTTAATAAATCAGGGCTTTGTTTTGTGTCTTTTCTATTTTTTGTAATTTATGTTTATTATATTTTACAAAAGAATCAGTCTGCAATGGATTGAAAATGAAGAAGGAAAAAAGAAATTTCATAGTGGTTTCTGAAGTGATGATCTAGCTTGGGGATGTTCAACGTGTGGTTCTCAGCAAGTAACATCTACATCATCTGGGAACTGGTTAGAAATGCAAATTCTCAGGCCTCACTCCACAACAAAAGAATCAGAAACCCCGGGGTAAGGCCCAGCTATCTGGGTTTTATTTTTTTATTTTTTATTTTTTGAGACGGAGTCTCGCTTTGTGGCCCAGGCTGGAGTGCAGTGGCCGGATCTCAGCTCACTGCAAGCTCCGCCTCCCGGGTTTACGCCATTCTCCTGCCTCAGCCTCCCGAGTAGCTGGGACTACAGGCGCCCGCTGCCTCGCCCAGCTAGTTTTTTGTATTTTTTAGTGGAGACGGGGTTTCACCGTGTTAGCCAGGATGGTCTCGATCTCCTGACCTCGTGATCCGCCCGTCTCGGCCTCCCAAAGTGCTGGGATTACAGGCTTGAGCCACCGCGCCTGGCCGCTATCTGGGTTTTAACAAGCCCTCCAGGGATTTCTAATCCTCGAGAAAGTTTGAGAACCACTGATCTAGATCTGTGTTTTTCTAACTTAAATGCACATCACTTGGGGAGCTTCTTAAACTGAAGATTGTGATTCAGAAGATCTGGGATGGGGGTGGAGATTTTACATTTCTAATAAGCTGCCAGGGGATGTGGGCATTGACCCCATTTTAAGTAGCAATCGTATGGGTAAAAGAAACCTGTTGTTGGAACAGTTGTCAACTAATAAGAAACCAAACCAACACTGCAGTACAACAAACAAAAGAAAAAGTGTTTTCATTAAGGTCTTAAGAACTGCAATTCAAGAGACACAGGTCTAGCAAGCGACTGGATCAGGCAAGGTTGGTCAGGAGCTTATAAAGGTTTTCTATAAGTTTACATACCTGGAAGATTTTCATATAGTCCACGATTGATGATGGCTGGTTAACAGCTTAGGATGTCTTTCAGTCTTGTTTGGCCTAGCTGTCTTTCCAGGAGGTTGGTGATCAGGCCCAGTATAAACAATTCAAGTCCAGTGCAGCTGGTTTTACAATTTGGCCCAGTTCAACAGGTCAGATTGCATCTAAGTGTGCACATGACTGGGATCCAACTCCTTATGCCCCCTAGATCCCACTTAGATACCTCTTACATAACCATCTTCATCTTGGATTTTATTTTCTCCACACAGTAGAGAAATGATTTCTATAGAGACAGACCAACGAATTGGCTGCTTTATCCTGTAGAAGGCCAAGAGGCTATTAGTGGCATTCTTTAAAGGACATCGTTGTAATTTTTTTTTTTTAATTGAGATCAAGGCAATAGAGAAATGGGCCAACTTTGAGGCAGGTGCGATTTAGGAAAGGCTGCTCTCCTTCTGGCCATGGAAATGAAGTCCTAGGAAAAGAGCTGCTCTCCAGGTTTCTGCCAGCCTGGGATTTCCAACATGGCTTTCCTCTCTGCAGCACCTTGTTAGCAACTTGATTCTCTGGTGCATGAAGACTGAAGGTGACGTGCTCTAGGGAAGGCAGGACAATGGTGAGTGTCAAGTGACTTTACTGAAAATGTTAGAGAAGTAATGAAATTCTGAACAACTGCTGCTGTGGCAGGAGCTGAAGGAAACCAGAGGCAACAGCTATTGGCTTCTTCCAATTCCTCAGGGAACCATCCTGGGGTGGGGAGCGGTGGGGAGAGGGCTGGAGTGCATGGTACAAATGCAACCGGTCCCACTGGACTGTCAGCTGAACTTGATAAAGGCAAAACAGGAGTTGAACATCTGCTAATCTGTTTAGATTGTGATACTTTGGACCAGAGGAGCAGCTATCCCCAGGAACCCCCATGCAGCATCAGGCCAGTGAAAGAGAAATTTGGGTAAGGACAAGCCCATTCCAGCTCCTGCCCTCACCCCAGGTCTTTGTGGGCCATTGGGCAAAGCCTTTTCAAATAAAAACTTGAGAAAAATGCCTATAAAAACATCTTTCACAGTTCAAAGAGAGGTAATGTGAGTGATAGTCAAATTTGCCAGGCTCTGGAATCAGACTGTCTGAGTTTGAACTCAAACTCCATGATGATGAGCTCTGTGTCTTTGGCCAAGTTGCTTTTCCTCTCTGTGCTTCATCAATCAGTTGTATTTGTTCTCTCCCTCTCACCAGGCTTTGAGCTAAGGATGGTGACTGCATTTCATTCATTTTTTCTTTCTGGTGGCATCTGATTGAGAAGGGCAAGGCACCTAACTCTGTCCATTTTAAGATTTGAGTTGAGAGCCACAGGTAATACGTGACATTGGGATTCCAAAGAGGGAAAGAGGAGTAGTTTGTGGTGCTTGTGGTGGTTGTACAAGGAAGATTTTGGACAAGAGAGTCTATTGAGGCTGGGACTGCATCACCAGGAAATTTGTAAGAGGTGCTGCAGGCACAGACAGATTCAGGGGCTCAAGTCATTCCTCAGTCTCCTCCCTACATCACTGAGCTCAGCTTGTCCAGCATCAGCTCTATCTCCAGGCCGGCTCTCCTCATCGTGGTAGATGGAGCCTCCGCACGTGGAGCGGCCCGCCCGGCTGTCATCTGGCTTAACTTGAGCTTTTATGGCCGCCCTTTATTACATTGTTTCCATGAGAACACACATCCCGAGTTCCACACAACTGCTTTACAAATGAGCTTTTGGAAAATAAGTATGCAGAAGCCAGATATGCCCTGTTTCCATCTGGACCAATATCCATATATTAATCTTCCCACTTCTGGTAACATAAAAACAGCTGGCCAAAGTGTCCTCCAAGCAAAATCCGTAAGAGACTCAACCTTGGCCTCAGATGGTAGTTGAGATGTTTTTATACTTTGACCACTTTGTCCTTCCTTGTGACTCCTCTGCCCTCCCCTCATTTCATCCATTCTGTAGTTCCAACCTCAACACCACAATCTTCCCTTCCTGCTCACTCTCACCAAGTCAGACAACACCCATGCTAGAAAGCTAGGAAGTAGTAACGATTGCACCTGTCACTAAACGATCAGCACCTCTGCTGCCCTAACAGCTCCCCTACGACAATCATAGCCAGGTAGACAGTGGAAGCCTAAATTCACAGAAGTCAGCCGCAGGCAAGTCACCGGAGCTGACTGAGACAGAACCGTACCTGAATGACGACTTCTGGGAAGGCAGCAACTGGGGCGGGACTAGGAGCAGAAATCAAGGTTGTGATGACTTTCACAGTTTTATCTGTAAAGGTCCTTTAAGTGCAAGCCAGAGAAATACATCCCAGATCACGGAAGGGAGCAATATAATTTATTAGAGGGATTTAAGTGTCCACAAAATAGAAAAAAAATCTGACCTGATTCAGAAAGGACAGGAATTCACATAGTCTTGAGATTCTATACAGAAAAAAACATTTTTGGTCCTTGTAAGATTCACTGAAGTTTCCAGAGATCTGGTTGACCCACTCCTGAGAGCCTAGCAATACTCCATGCAAGGGAGCGAGGCTGCTTTCCCAAAGGAAAAATAAGAGGCCATTAACAAGCAGCAGGAGAAAGAAACATTCTCTGTTGCATAGGTCATATTGCAGTATTTGTGAGTTTTCTCCTTCAGACTTTGGGTTTGCCATTCTGTTCTGTTTCCCTTTGCCTCCATGAGAACTAAAGTTACTGGGTAATTCATTCAATAACAGCATTTCACAGGCATTTGACTGGGTGCCCCTCTGCTGGTCACTGTACACACAAAGGCACAAATAAGACATGGACACCAAGGATCAGAAGGGGAAGATGGAACTCCTCCCTGTGCTGTGGGGGAGGCGTGTACAGAGACACTGGGGGTCAGAGGAGGCATGGCCAGGTCCACCCAGGAGCAGGGGCTTGCGAAAAGCATCCCAGAAGAGGTGAGCCTGAGGTGACCCTAGAAAGATAAGGTAGGCAAGGGTTAGGCAGGGAACCCAGGCCTGGGGCGAGTGGGTTGAATGGTGGCATTCTGGACAGAGGTGGAGTACTTGGAGGAAGGGCAAAGGCACAGAGGCACCAAACATCCTGGATTTTTTTTTTTTTTTCTCGAGACGGAGTCTCACTCTGTCTCCCAGGCTGGAGTGCAGGGGCGTGATCTTGGCACACTGCAACCTCCGCCTCTGAGGTTCAAGTGATTCTCCTGTCTCAGTCTCCCAAGTAGCTGGAACTACAGGTGTATGCCACCATGCCCGGCTAATTTTTGTATTTTTAGTAGAGATGAGGTTTCACCATATTGGTCAGGCTGGTCTCGAACTCCTGACCTCAGGTGATCCACCCACCTCAGCCTCCCAGAATACTGGGATTACAGGCGTAAGCCACTGCATCCAGCACGTCCTGGATTTTTAAAAGAAGAATAATATATTCTTGAATGCTGAGGGCAAAGTGGGTGGTGGTGGGAGAGAAAGCTAGAGAGGAAATCACTGACCAGGCCAGATCATGGAAGGCCTTTGTGGTCGGTATTAGGACTTTGCAAACGAATCTGTAGGCAAGAATTTGAGGCAGCGAAGTGACATGATCTGACTTGCATTTTAGGAAGATCCTGCTGACCCGGAATAAAAGATGGCTAGAAGGGTGGAACTCTAGAAGTGGGGAAAGACTAGAAGATTATTGCAAAACTTGGAGTTACAGATGTCAGGAGCCAGCATCAAGGCAACTGCAATGAGAGTGAGGAAGAGGCAACATGCGGGTGAGATGTCAAGCAGGAAGCATCTACAGGACTTGGAGCTGATTTGTTAGGATGGTGAGGGCTAAGGAAGCATCTAGAATGGCTCCGGGTTTATGGCTTGGGTGAAGAGGCGGATGGTGACACTGTTTCCCAAAACTAGTGTCTTCAGAAAAGAAAAGGAGTAGGTTAGGAAGATAAAAAAGAGAAGTACAGGGTCAGATATTGTGTCTTGGGACATCTGTGGGGCACCCAGGAGGAGGTCCTCAGTAAGAAGTCGGATCTCAGCATCCCCGAGCTGGGAGGCTTCAGCTTGTGAGAGGTGGGTGTAGGAGAATGAGAAGAGAGAAGAGACAATGGCCTCAGGCCTGAGTGCATGGGAGCAGGGAACAAGGAGCCAGTAGACAAGTCGAGGGAGAAACTTTCAGGGAGGAGGAATAAGAGAGTATTATCTGTGGAGCCAGCAAAGGACGAAGTTTTAAGAAAATGAGTGCTCAACCGTATCAGATGTCTCAGAGAACTCACCCATAATAAGGCTCAAGAAAAGTCTACTGGATTTGACATTTAGAAAGTCATTACAGACCTAAGCTAAAGACCTTTCAGTGGAGTGGTGGGGTCAGAGGTCAGAGTGAGTCCAGGGGTGAGTGGCGGGTCAAGCTGTGGGAGCTGTGAACGCAGGAAGCTGCCTCCTAACACACCTCCCTTTCCAAAAGCACCCTGAGTCCTGGAACGCCCATGACCCATGCTGCTGGTGCCAAGATGACCTGGGGCTCTAACAAGGACGGGCTATGCAGTTACCCATCATTCGCTACATCATCCATTATTTATCAAGCATCTCTAGGGTGTCTTCAATATGCCAGGTACTGCGCCAGGTACCTGGGCCCCAAAAATGAGTAAGACCCAGGCACTGCCCTAGAGATATTCATGTTTTAATGCGGAAACACACCGATCAAACATTACCAGGTCATGCAGCCTGTGTTTTAACTGAGTAGGAAAAGATGAAGGAGGTCAAGGAAAGTTTCATGGAGAAGTGACAATTGTCATTACGGACAACGGCCAGCCAAGGAACTCCTTGAAGCAGGGGAGTGGCATGATGAAATTTTTGTTGTAGTTTTATGCAGAAAAGGGATGCATTTTCACAAACTTAATACTTTCACGTGACTGGCATCCAGATCAAGAACGAGGACATGACCAGCCCCCAGAAAGCCCTCGTGACTTTTTCTAGCCAACACCATCACGAATTTTCCACACCCCCACTTTTTTTTTTTACATAAATAAGTGTATATAGTACTCATCTGTGTCTGCTGTCTTTTGCTCAACATGACATTTGTGGGCTTCTTTCCACATTGCTGCATAGAGTGGCAGATGGCCACTTTCAGATTTGTTTTTTTAAGGAAAATGTGGTAAAGATGTGAGTCTCATGTGTAGATTATGAAAATCAGTCCTTTGCTTTGCTGTCCTGGTACATGTGATTAACCAACAACCTTGGCTCCTTGCCCCTCCCCAAATAGAAGTGAGTGGGGCTGGCTCTCTCCATTTCCTCACCTCCCTTTTCAGGATTCACTATTCATTTCTCAAATTGCTCACAGTGTTCTTTGAAATGCAAGTTCTCTTGTATGTCTGTGTGCACAAGATGTGTGCATGCACATGTGCTGCCAGGGAAAAAGGGGAAAAGAATTCTGTAGGGTTTGCACCAGTCTCTAGTGCCCCATTTGGGGCAGTGGCAGGTGTGGCTGGCAGGCTGTCCCAGAAAGAGACAGGCTAGCTGCAGGGTGTACAGCTGCGACTAACAGAGTGGGAAGGGAGCAGTGGAGGGGCCCAGTAATGAAGGAACCACCCTCAGAGGAGACCTAAGTCATTACTGTCATTCTAACTGCCACCCTCCTGAATACACAGGAAGCTTGCAAATCTCAGAGCAATCCATTCCCACTTCTGCTGGAAGAAAAATGAGAAATCCCATATCAGGAGGAATTCGTAATTCCTGCCTGTCTTCTTAAAAATACATCAAGATCCTGCAGAAAATATGCTTTCAAATGTAGCCCCTCCGATACCCAGCAGTTAGGCGGCTTCTGCTTCTGCCTGACAGCGCCTCATAAAATTCCTGCAGGAAGAGGTTATATGACCGATAAAACCTGCTCCCAACGTCTCTCTTGGCTGAGCTTTGTCCTAGGAGCCCTTTATACTTCCCCCAGCCTCTTTCGAGGTTAATAAGCTCACATTTTCAAGGGCAGCTCTAGATGTAAAAGAGAGCAGGTTCTTCTCCCTCTCTACCTAGAATGAAGATTTGTTATTTCTTAAATTGACACTAGAAATGTTTTGACACCTAGCCTGCCATTTGGAAAGACCCCAGTGTAAATCCCGTAGGACTGAGAGCCTTGTAGGGAGTGGTGAACTGGGGAGGCTCAGAAGACGACATCCCCTTGCCTCTAAAACATTGACTTTTTTCTCTATACATATTCAAGCTAGTGCTTTGGTATATTCTTTCTCTCCTCTCCCTGTCTCTCTTTCTCTGTCTCTCCAAATGTGAGTTTCCTTGTTTGTGAGAGTCTGATTATTTAACATGTTGGCGAAGTGGCCTCTGGCTTAGTAATAATGTCCTCCAGTAGCCTTAGAACATTAGCTAGGAGCCAAGGCCCTGAGAAGTTGAAGGTTGTGTCCAAGAACTTCTAGCTGCTTAGGGACAGAATTAGGAGTAGATAGTCTCAAAAGCCACTGTCTCTCCCCTCCTAAATTGACCTTTCTCTTTTCTGGAGCTAAGTCACTTACTGTCTCCTCTGGTCTCCACAGGTATTTTTTCTGATTACATCAAGACTTATTCTCAAGAAAAACAGGGTATAATAACCACATGAGGTTGGTAGATGATGCACAATGTGGACTCCTTGTTCCAAGAATATTTGCATTTCATCAGGGGCAGAGGCATGTACACGCCTCGAATGGCCATTCATTCACTTGCCAAGTTCCAACATCTTTTAGCCACATGGTAGGCTGAATTTCTCCATCCCAGTGAAATCAGGGTGACCATGTGACCCACTTTGGCCAATATGATGGAAATGGGAATGACGTGAGTCACTTCTGGTGGAAGCTTTGAGAACCAGTATGTGGAACCTCCCTCAGTCTGGATCCCTGAGTGACCAAAAAGAGCACAATCCCTATACTGACCTATGCTAGGCCTGTAGGGAAGTAAGGAATAAATTTTGTTGAATTAAGCCTCTGAGATTTTGGGGATGTTTGTTATTGCAGCATAACCTAGCATACTCTTTCTGATAAACATGTCATGGATTTCAGGCATTGAAAATTGCATGCCCAGCAGCACTGGACCATTGAGAGGCCATGCACCATGTTGTTGTGCCCCAACATTCTTCTATAACCATAGAGAACAAGCCACAGTCTTGGACACATGATGTGTACCCAGCATCTCTTGGTTGTACTTACTGGGAGTACTTGTTGACTTGAAGGCCAAAGGAAAGTGAGCTCAGGTCACCAAACACATCTTTCAATCTTCTCCAGGGCCAGACACCTCCAAGAGTAAGTGTGCCCAGGCAGGGCCTGTTGGTGAGGTCCAGAAGATGATATAGTCTGGGCTATAAGGCCAGGCTGTGTAGGTTACTGAATTGTGATTGGCATGCCTTTGTCCCAATTTGCTTTTTCCCATGGGTTTAAATTACTTGAACAACCTATTTGCTTTCCTCTAAAAATAAAACGTAACTTTTTTGCAGTCAGTGTTAACAGCAAGTAGCTAAATCTATCCCTGTCATCCATTGTAAATTCAGCTCAACTTCTCGGTTTTATTGACAGCCCACTATGTGCCATTAGAAACAGTTCCTGCCTTAGCATTTGCAGTCTAGCAGAGAAGATGGGCACATTAGCGAGTAAGCAGAACAAAATGTGAATCCTGGATATAGCCCATTCATTGAAGAAATATTTATGGAGGGCCATCATTTCCTAGGTAATAGACATTGCAGAAAGTGCAGAGGCAGACCTAGAGTGGGATGGAAACATTTGGGAGCAATTGCCTCTTTTCTGGAGGCAGGATGTGTTCCAGTTACAATCACTTCGTAACAAATCCTTGTTGCTTAAAACAGCTATTGTATTAAACTCACAGATTCTGTGGGTTGGGGATTCAGGCGGGGTGCAGTGAGGATGGCTTGTCTCTGGTTCTCAGCATCTCAAAAGTCACTAAGGCTGAAGGTGATGTCATGGGGACTGGAGTCATCTGGAGGCTCCTTCGCTGACATGTCAGGTGTCTGGGCTGGGATGACTCAAAGGCTGAGCTCAGCTGGGACTGACAACCTACACATAGCCTTTCAATGTGGCCTGAGCTTCTCACAACATAGAAGCTGATTCTCAAAAGGGGACATCCCAGAAGGGCATCAAGACAGTGAGTGTTCCTGTAGAAGCAGGTGCACGTTGCACTGCCTTTTGTGACCTAACCTCGGAAGTCTGGCAGTGTCATCCCTCTCTGTATTCCATATGTTGTAATAGTCACTAAGGCCAGGCTGGATTCCAAGGGTGGGACACAGATGCCACCTCTTAATGGGGATGTGTCCAAGAATTTGTAGACATATTTGAAACCACCACAGATTGGGAGCAAACACAGCTTGCTAGTTGTCTAACTAGGTTCCATTTTTACCTTCCTAGTAACAGAATCCCTATGCTATCAGTTAACTCAGATTTTTAAAAATCTACTTTTCCTGGCCTCCCTTAAAGATGTGTGTCCAATGAGAAGAAAGGAGAAGTCATTGGATAAGCCTTTTGGAAAGTTCTTTTATAGACTTTAGAGAATCTTCACAGGATATTATACTCTTCTGGAAAATGTCTTTTCCCCCTCCTCCTCTTCTTTATTCTCCCTGCTTGGAGTGCAGATGACAGAGTTGGAGCTCCAGTAGTCATCTTGAGACCATGAGGCAATCCTGAGAAGGAAAGCTACACATTAAGAATGAGGGAGCAGAAAAATTAAAGAATGCCAGGTCCTGGGAGACATTGTGGAGCCAACATGCCAACCCTGCCTTTTGAATGTCAGGCTATAAGACAGTCAAATAAATGTCTATTATATTTGATGTTGTCTGTCACCAAAATCAATCCCTAACTGACACAAGGGATCAGAAAGAGTTAGATCAGAAAGGAGGAAATGTAATTTTTTTTGGTAAAGTAATAATTGCGCAAGCATTTGCTAAAATGAGCAGGGGGTTGCCAGATAAAGTAAGGAAAGACCTTTCATGCAGAGGGAATAGTATCGTTAAAATGTCAAGGAAGCCACTTGATCACTTTCACCTGAAAAAATAAGATACATTAGAGTGGCTTGGTGAGGTTACTTGCAAATTATATTTGATGATTCCAGAGGAAGAAATAATAGAACTTCAGGTATGCTGAGAAAGGTAAGATGGCGCACAGATATTTCCCAATAAGTTGCAAATAAATGCCTTTTGTTTTGTATCACAGCTAATAAACAGTTACATGGAAACTCTAAATAGCTGTGTAAATGGTCAAGAACTCTTTGTAGACTTTCAAGCTGATTTTGGAGATGTCTACACCTCAGTCAATAATGAGACATTTAATTCTTCTTTGGCTATGTCGATTATGTTATTCTTTGTTTTAGAATGACTCATTGGGATATGGTCACCCTCAGTGCCACAAAATGAAACTCATATATGTTGTAAGGGATCAAATTGCAACTGATTATTATTGATATAATGAGAAACAATTTTTAAAATGTTCTTGGGCCCATGTTCCATTGTATGTTCAAATTCCCTGAAATGACTAACTTTCAGAGCCCCCAAGAAGGCTGGCCAACTTCTTAAAAAAAAAAAAAAAAAGAAGATTATTTTAATTTATATTTAAAAAAAAAACTACAAAAAAGATAAGCTGAATTCTTTACACTTGTTTTATTTTGTTTTGTTTTGTAGAGAGAGTCTCACTGTGTTGCCCAGGTCTAGAAATTCTGGCGTCAAGTGATCCTCTAGTCTCAGCATCCCTAGTAGCTGTGACTACAGGCATTGCCACTACAGTCTGCTAATTTTTTTTTCTTTCTTTCTTTCTTTTTTCTTTTTTTTTTTTTGCATAAAGGAAGTCTCACTATTTTCCCCAATCTAGTCTCAAACTCCTGGCCTCAAGTGATCCCCCTGCCCTGGCCTCCCAATGTGCTGGGATTACAGGCATGAGCTACCATGCCCGGCTTGTACACTTAATTTTTGAACTTGCCTCCAGCTCCCACCTTCAGCTGCTCTGCTGAGAGAGAATAAAGAGTGGTGGTAAACAGCATAGGCTCCTGAGAGCTGTCCCTCTGACTAGCTGTGTGATCTTGGGCTAGAAACTTAATATCTCTGTGCCTTAGTTTCTTCAATATAAAATGGTAATAGTTTATGCCTACTTCAGAGAGTTGTGAAGTTTAATAAAGATCTGCTTTGAAAAGTACTTAGAACGGTGTTTGAAACATGGAATTCAATAAATGTCAGTTATTGCAAATGCTAATTTTCTCAAAATATGTCTGCACCTCTTAGAACATTATAGCTCCTGTGGGGTCACATGTCTTGCCAGTTTCAGTGCTAGTGTAATGTCATATGCATAATTGACGCTCAGTAAATATTTACTGGCTGAGTTGGTTGAGTTTAACACCCCCTCTCAAGGAATTGGCTCACATTAAATTAGAAGGAAGCGGGGCTGAGGGAAATGACTGTGTTTTTTGCTTTTGTTTATAGATTTTATAGCACATAGTTATAATTTAGAAGTCCATTCTGATTTATTCATCACTCATTTTAATAGTCTATTAGGGAATCAGGGAAGTAAACAAACCCACTTTTTCCTCAAATTATTTAATGATGGAATAATATTTGTCTAGATAAGCCTTTATTTGCAGCTAATGTTCTGATGCCATTCTCCACTCATTACTACCCTCTCTCTCCATCCATCAAGCTGTCATTGGACTCCTACTGTGTGCTATGCAGTAGCTATGGTGCTGCATAAGTCCACACATATCCCATGCCATGGTGGGTGCTGACAATCTGGTGAAAAGACAAATCATCACAAATAATCATACACAAAAAGGCAAAATTGTCATTATAGCAAGTGCCCTAAAGAAAAACAATGAGAGTGATGTTTTTCTGAAGAACTGAGGCATATATATGTATATACAATACATATGTGTATATGCATGTGTCTGCTCACACACTTGTGTGACTACATACATATATGGATATATACAAATGCCATACTTGCGCTTTTGTATTTGCGGCATCATGAATTTTATTGGTCAACAGTTAATGATCTAAACCAAACTGCTACTTTTATGTAACATTGGAATAAAAGTAACCAATCACTTTTTCTTTTTTGAGACAGGGTCTGGCTGCTTAGGCTGGAGTGCAGTGGTACAGTCTGGGTTTACTGCAACCTCCACCTCTGGGACTCAAGCCGTCCTCCCACATCAGTCTCCTAAGTAGCTAGGACTAAAGGTGGATACCACCATGCCCAGCTAATTTTGGTATCTTTATTATTATTATTATTATTATTTTATTTTGTAGAGACAGGGTTTTGTCATTTTGCCCAGGCTGGTCTCGAACTCCTGAGCTCAAGCAATCCACCTGCCTCAGTCTCCCAAGGTGTTGGAATTACTGGCATGAGCCACCATGCCCAGCCAATCACTTTTTCATTATGCATATCCTGTCTCTCCTCCTTTCCAACTATTAATAATAGTAACATTTGTTGAGCACTGACTAATACTGTATTAAAGACTTGAAGACAGCCAACAGCACTGTGAGGCAGGAGCTACTATTATCCCCATTTCCAGATGAGGAACTGAGGCTAGGGGAGTTCAATACCTTATTAAAAGTCAGTCATGGCAGGTTGTATCTCTGTCTCTGCATCAAATGGAGTTTAGGGAAATAGGTTCTATGGAAGCCAGCAACATACAGGAACTGGATGGAGATGCAGGGAGCAAGGATGTAGCAATGGATCAATCTGCAACACAAGAGCTGGGCTTGGGAGAAACAGTAGAGTTGGAAACTTACATGCACCAACTAGCTTGACTGCTCCTATCACATCAATGGACTCTTGTTCACATGGCATCTCATCTCAACCCTGTCTTGAGGTTACAGGCATGACTTGCCAACTGTATTCTGGACACTGATGGTGTCCAGCACTTCAAGCTCAGTAGTACCAAATTTATCATCCTCCACCCACACTCCATCTTCTATTTCACTCCTGTTCTCTCATCTCCATTTTTGGCCTTATTTTAAGTTCATCGTCAGCTTCTCCCACCCCCAACATGAAGTTGCACACATGGTGAATTGTTTGCATCTCCAAAACATCCTACTGAACCCCAAGGTTCTTCACTCTTACAGCTCTTGTCTAATGACTTGGCTCCAAGGGTTCCCTGCCAGATGTGTCTTTCTCCACTGACATTCCCATGCCCCATTCCTCAAAATCTGGGTCCCTGCATGACAATCCACATGTCTGCTCCATGCCTCTGAGCATAGGAGTTGAGAACCATTACTGTACTTGAAATGTGAGTGGCTCTCGCCACGCTGAAGACCCCAAGGGATTTCTGGGACAGAAAAGTAGGTCAAGTTTCTCCTTTGGGAATAGACGCTGGTGTCAGCAGAGACACTGCTCTTTGAAAATTGAACTTGGCGATTCCTCAAAAGCATTTGGATCATCCCCAATGCCATGCTAGCAGGCCCTCCAAAGAATCGGGCTTCCTGACTGTCCTGAAATAATCTGTAAGGGAAGCCAGCTGCTCAGAGAATCCGGGGCCAACTTTTCAGGAGCCTGAGCCAAGTTATACTTCTGTGTAGTGCATGTTTCAGGGTGTGTGGATGTGGAGACTATGTGCCTGGGTGTGTGGGCAGGTGGCATCTGGTTTTCCCAGGGTAGAAGGTAGGAGAATGATGTCCAGCCAGAGTAGAGGGATGAGACTACTAAAACCTGCTAGTAATTGGGACACTTTGGGATGGACTGAATTTAAAAGAAAATGAACTTCCATGTTTGTGCCAAATATTAATGACCACCAATATTTGTAAAGAACTTAATGGTTTAAAAGTATTTCACATAGGGTATCGACCTCATTTAGTTCTTATAAAAATGCCAGAGGAAACTCTTGATTGTTCCCCTACATAACTGTCTTTCAAAGTATTTGTCACAATAACAATTATGCATTTCAGATTTTAAAAAATAGTTGTCTTCCCTATTAAACTATAAGATTCATGAGGACAAAATTTTGTATTTTCACTCAGCATTCTATGCCTAGCACCTACAGTAATGCTCTGACAAATAATAGGTGCTCAATTAATATTCAGTAAATGAGCTGGGCACGGTAGTGCTCACCTGTAGTCCGAGCTATTTGAGAGGCTGAAGCCGGAGGATAGAATGAGCCCAGGAGTCTGAATTCAGCCTGAGTAACAGAGAAAGACCCTGTCTCTGAAATAAACATTTTTAAAAAATTCAGTGAATGAAGAAATTCAGTAAGCAAATACATAATTGTATAAATGAGCAGAAGATGTTATATAATAGAGTTGTATCAAAACATTATCTAAGGTAACACACACCCCAGACAAATATGCATCTAGCACTTTTAAATGAAGAGAGATTGTTTTATTATTTATTTATTTACTTTATATCTAATGTACCA